CGTTCGATCATAGAGCTTTAAAACGTGTTGTTAAGGGTGCGTTCGTTTAGCTCACCCGGGTCGACACGGGTAAGCCCCGTGCCGACACGGGTCAGCCCCTAGACTTGACTCAAGTCGGAATTGCTTTAAGCCGGTATCTTAATTTTTAAAAAAGTAGCAAAAATCACTTAGTTTACGTCTTTCCAGAAGCCCGACAAGCAGTGACAAGGTACACTTCAGCACGCGTTCCACTTCAGTGCCGTAAAACAATGCGCACACACTGTATGTACATTGTACAATACGCGTATTTTACGTACATGGGTGTGCATGTATTTCAGAGCATGTGCATAAATGTGGTGCAAAAGTTAGCAATTGCTGCATCACTTGAAAATAACATGTACATGTACGTTTTTAACATGATGGTCCGGATTCGACGCATGAGGGCGCGCGTTATGTACTGTAAGTATGCCATATGCGCTGTGAGTGGATTTACTATGAGCGTTTTCGAAACGACTGGCTTCGACTTCGTTTTCAGCTTAATAACATTTTAGGTCCCGACTTCGGGGACTCCAGCTACATTTTGGTGCCTGTTATGCTTCAGGAACATTCAATCGGTTGATATGAAGACAAAAGTTGGAATAATTTCGTTTAGTTTGCCTCTCAGTGATTCAGAAGTAGGAGGCGAAGCCGAAGCCGAAGCCGAAGCCGAAGCAAAGATTTCGAAACCTAAATAGGCACAGACCGAGCGCAACCCAGACTTGGCCAAGTCTAGTCAGCCCCGTGCCGTTCGATTAGCTCTGACGTCATTCTCGGGGCTCACCCGGATCAGCCACCACAGCCCCCTGGTCGTGGAACAGAGTCACTGGTGGAAGTATGTCACGCATGCGTTGGTCATTCCCTAGAAACGGACAAAATATGGCGGCCGGTGTGGCAGGTAATTCTGTCCTCCCTGGTAAATGTGTCCCCCGGACAAATTTACCGGCTCGTGACCCGGTAAATCTGTCCGGGGGGACACATTTACCTAGGTAGATCTGTCCCCCTCCCTGGTAAATATGTCCCCCTACCCAACGTTGAAAGTGTCCCCCTGGTATATGTGTCCCCGTGCATGCATACGGTGATACGAGTCGTGTTCGTGAGCGCGCGCATCGCCGCAAGTACATGCTGCAAGATTTGTGGCAGCGTTTATCGCATGTGTATAATGTGTATCCCGCTACACGAAGGAAATTCATCTAATGAGAAATTTCGTTACGCGCTACGATGGGAACGCAGACCAATTCAAGTAGTCGTCATATCAATGAGGCGTCCACCGTAGAATAGGGCTACTGTAGTGCACGACCTTGCTGTAATTTCACCGTACTCCGAGTCCGAGTCGATCGAAACATAATTGTTCACATTTCACAAAGAGACCAAAAAGTTAATTTTATTCATCTTCATGAAGGGCAGACTAAAAAGTAAAAAATGTATAGCTTGTATGAATTCATTAAAACAATAATTATAGGGAATTACTGGCCTTCTGCGCTGCAAAACTAGGGGGACAAAAAAACCTGGAGGGGACAGAATTACCTGAAGGGGGACAGAATTAACGGGCCGGGGAGGACACTTTTACCTAGGTAATTCTGTCCCCCCAGACACTTTTAACGGGGGACAGAATTACCGTCCACACCGGACAGTAGAAATCTCAAGTGGACTTAAAAGTTGACTTGATTTCAAATTACGTTTTGCCCTTCACCGACGTATAAACATTGTATACTAACTTTATACTTTATTTGAAGTCTAAAGGTAATCATTTATTGAGTTCATTGCTAGTTTTGAGACTATAATTTTTTCCCAACTTGTTTGAGTTCTGCAATAATTGACTAAAAAGCAGTAAATCTGAAACTAAGACCCAATCTGAAACGGTCTTTTTTCAGTGGCTACGGCCACGGCTGAGAGCGTCACGCGAGGTTCGTAATGGCCCGCGGTTGAGCGTTCAAATAGCCCGGCTGTCGTGGCTGACCCGTCTGCCTTTACCCGTGTCGACCCGGGTGAGCTAAACGAACGCACCCTAAACGAGCTATTTTCCCGCTGTTTTGTACAATGTACATGTATATTAAGACCTTTCCCACACACTTTTGCCAACTTGCATTTTTTTCAAAGAGGGCGCGCTACACTAATAGTGGTAGACCAGTAAATAAATTTCCATAGACCCCAATGATAAATGCCCCCACTTCAGAAATTCTGGAAAAATACTCACAGCTCTCATTTTCTGTTAATTTTTTTTTTGGTTAACCAATGACTTTAGGGAGAAAATTCCATCCAAAGATGATCACCCCTAAAAGCAATCCTGAAGCCCATCTCCATTTTGAAAATGGACGCCTGCGCTCCATTGCAAAATAGAACCATTTTAGGGCCTATTTTATGCACATTTCACAGAAATACGAGCTCGCAGTCCTGTACATGGCTTCCCAACATTTTCTCACAAATCATCAATTCACAGCCTTCAAAATGTTCTAATACTGAAGAATTCGAGGGCATACAAATCGTGATTTGGCCGGCAAAGGCAATTTCGGACCGATGTACATGGTCTGTCTGTGGTCTGCACCCACAGTGAGCTGTTCTGATAACGCCCTCTTGCGGCATGTGACCGCGTATCTAAAATACAACAGCGTCTTGACTCACTACGCAACTTCGTGCATGCGTATTTTAACACAAATTTGCCTTCCGGAAAGATCAACGTACCGGATAACCGAAAAGGCCAAATTCCACATTTGGAGATTTCTGACGTTTTAGGACGCTAGTGTGGCTACTACAGCATAAAATAGTCTATGGAGTAGCTATCCGAGTAGATCATTATGCAAACAACGCGTCTTGACCTCCAGATTCTGACCATTCAGCGGGCGCCTTCTATCGTGTCTTCGGTAACCGTATTTCTGCTCTAAATAACGTCACAACTTGTATAAAGGCGGCTCCGATCGGCTGGCGCGCGGGGTCGTGTAAAATTTACATGCTCAGATATATCAGACGTTTGTAGTGTGGCTCTGCAACGTCTGATCGATCCTCAGACTCAGGATAATAGACCTTTATCATGCTGCCACCATTTCAATCGTGTTCCCTGTATCCATTAACAGCGCTGAGTGATAATTTTTTTTGTGCAAAAAGGAACCAGACTATTTTTCCTTCCAGCCTCGCTAAAGTTGGTTACATTGACTTGAATGGGAAAAAATCAAATGGCTGCAACATGATAATGGTCTTTGTAGGCCTTAACGGAAAACGTTAACGTTGTATATGCAAACATTCACCGTGCTGTTTTCACTTGGTTTGGATGAATTACTTATTGTTTTATTCATCACCTCACAAACAATAAATAAATAGTAGAAAATATAAATAATCAAAACCGATGTAAAATATATCAATAACCATAGCCACAGGGCGTTACTTGGGTCTAAATAAAAATGAGGCAAATCAACAATACTTCAATCTTTGTCGGAATAAAAAATCAAAAATAAACAAAAGTGATACTAATTCTTTTGTGAAGATACCCCTTTTAGCTCATGACAATTTTTTTTCACCTGAAATTAATGCAAACTTGAGAAAAAAATCCAAAATATCCAGGGAATTCAAAGAAATGAAATTGACAGATGTCAAAATCTCCCCCCCCCCCAAAAAAAAAAAAAAAAACCCGCCCCTTTAAGAACTGTAGATAAAGACCAAGTGACGTAATAGTGAACTGTTAAAAATACACACGAAGTATGAAACCGACATTTTTCTTACCGACGAAACTCTCCACCAATGTAATAAATGAGAATTGTGATTAAATATAGCTCTATGGTGGGAACCAAGCATTCATTTCTACCTTGCCCTTGAACTTACATATCCGTGAAGAACATACCAATGCACTTAACATGTAATCCTTGTGGCTGCTACTTCAACAAAACCTGGAGCCATCAAGGGGGATTCGAATTACGAGTTTTCATTGCATTAAACGGACCTTATTACATTACAGCGAGTTTTAGAGTTTACAAGAGTTTTAGAGGTTCGCTCTCGGTATTTAGAAAATACGAGAATATCGGTTTCCATCTCAATTTCGGTCTATTTCAAGCTCCACATAATCACACAGAAGGGATTTGTCATATTTCAAAATTATTTCTTGGCTCACAGGATACGCGATTGCAGGGCCTTTTATGCAAACTAATTTATAGAGGGCGCTTTATCGCTCTACAACCAGGAGAGTGTATTTTCTCTCGACTGACCTCTAACTAGACCAGGGCCCAATTTTATGGCTCTGCTAACCACAGAATTCCGCGCTTACGATCACCATTTTGTGCTAACCGCACGCTAGCAAAAAAATTTTTGTGCTAACCTTGTAAGCACACAATCCTTAGTAACGGGATGTACGCATGCGCATAAGCCAAAACTCCTCGCTAACCCCTGATCTCTATATAAAGATCGGTGTCGCTAACGCGTGAAATACGCTTACCGTAAGCACGGAATTTTCTGTTATAGTCAGCAGGGTAAAGCAGAGCCAAGAAT